CCGATGTGAATCTAGTGACTGCACTAGGATTCTACAGCATGTTTGGTTCTTTAGAGTCACTATTGAATCTGGAACAGAAACATGAGGTGGTCACAGCCATCAGTGTAGAAGTATTCCCAGGAGTTCTGCAGACTGAACAGAAATACATAGGGAAATGGAGGGAAGCAATCGAGACAGAAATGAACGTCAGACACAGTGAGACTTATTGTAGACCATCAGGAGCACGTTATTTGGTGGGTTCAACGTTGGCTACAATGTGCAAGAGCAGATACCCTGTACATTTCGTGGCTGTGGACGTGAAGAGTACAAGAATGATCGTGGATCAAGCCTTCTCAGTGCCGAAGTGTGTGAGATTGGCGAGAATGTCTGAAAAGTCTTACGAGTTACTACGTAAGATGTTCTCAGCAGTTCCAGAGAGAACCAAAGAAGAATTGGAGTCAATACTAGGAAAGAAGTTCATGGGATATGTGAATGGGAACTTCAGTGACTTCGAGAGACAGAAACAGAGAGGATCAACTGTCACCGATTACAATGCAGTAGATGAGAATGATGAAGTCCACCGAGTGATGATGGAAGTGGAACCATTGCTGGAAGCTTCGGGAAAACGTAATTGGAGGAGCATCATGTTGACGCATGACGAGTTTCCTTGCCACTGCTTGCTGCAGACCTGGTGGTATCCCAAGCGTAGTAATCTGATGTTGATCTGGGACTCTGGAGAGCTGCTCTCCATGGGTTTACCAGATTCATCACAGCCCGTAACGATAGTGATAGTGGGAGTTATGATGGCGATACGATGGCTGGAAGCTCATGTGAGAGAAAATAACAGACAGGAGGCACCGACGAGAGAACAGTTGCGGAAATTAGATTGTCTAAAAGATTTAGATCTTTTTGAGACAATGTGCAAAGTTCTAAACATTCCGATGGAAGTGAAGAAGATATGGGCAAGAAAACGATTGATGCCATGGTTCAGAGCTAACATAACTGCATGGTTGTACGAGTATGCGAAAAAGCATATGTCGAAGCACGGCAGGGTGTACAGTGAATATCAGCTGGACATTGGAGCAGGAGCTTTCAAGCGAGCTCCCGTGACTCATCGGAATGCAGTGACCACCGCTGTGAAAAGAATTTCCAGGACGAGTGAACGTAGTGTAAAGGAGAAGGCAGAGATGCTGAAAGAAGATTTGGAGAGAAACGTTACGTTGTGTCTCCACAACAGCTTCTGCAGAAACAGAGAATCTAACGTGGATCCCCTACCTTGTTGTAAACAGAGGGTGGAAGAGCAGAAGTGAAGTGTTGGAGGACGGCTTCCAGCAGCGTCAGGAAAGCTAACGACGTGTTACAAGATACAGAAACTGAGAGTGCAGAGTCAGTATCACAGGAGGAAGAAATGGAACATTGACGGATGACCGAAAGACAGGATGAAAAAAGAGATGAAATTAGAAGAATTTAGAAGTTTTAGAACTTCTAAACGACGAAAAAAGAAGAAAACAAAGGAGTGATGAAGAAAAGTTAAAACTCAGAATTGTTTATGTGTGTGAAAAACTCAAGTGAGAAACCAAGCAACCAAGTTGTAATTGAAAACTGAAACATTAAGTTGAGTTTTGAAATTGTTGCATTTGTAAATTTGCATTTGATTTTAGTTGAAGTGGCTTTAGAGACACTCACTTACTATTTATTTAGGAAGGCTTAAGTGAAGGAGTATATTTAAATATTCCAGCCTGCATGACTGTTTTTAATCAGCTAGGAGAACTGATCACTCTGCGGTGACATGGAAGGCTTGAGTAATCTCTCGAAGAGGGAGATTGTTTCAATAGTTCTTTCTAACCACAGAGTTTCTTAAATTTAATATTCAGGACAATAACAAGCAAGATTTCCGAAGGGAAAAGCGTAGTAGGATAATTTTAGCTTGTTGGTTGGCAGGACTGTCCTGCAAGCCAACACCTTTTAAATCTAAGAGAAAAAGTTTTAATCGGGACATTGACATTGGAAGTCAGAAAATATGTTTTATCTTAAATCATATCCTCAATATGCAGATTAATGAGAGAATTTGAAGGCTATAGTGATGTAGTATGATGCCATTTATATTCTGCAGTGAGTCGATGTGACGTGGATAAAAGTAATTTCGTGCATTTTGCAAATTCTGTTCGATGACACTGTGACCATTTTACGAATATTGCGTGATTCAATGAGGACATTGACCGGACTGTCCGGGGAGTATGTGACATTCGACCAGAATGTGAAAAATGCAATCTCTGCAGAATTCGAATTTTTAGCAGCGAGCCTTCCGATTGGTGATTATTAAGAACTAAGAACGTTATTGGAACGATTGGCCAGACGGTGAGGGCTGGAATATTCTGATGTTTTAAAATTTCAAAAATTCGAACTATGACGTCATATATCTGAGAAACGTCAGAAACGGCCATTTTGGCTAAAACAAGAAAGAAAGACAGAACAACATTAGCTGCGCTAACAACAACTACGAAATCGAGATTGGAAAACGACAACGAGTTACAGAGTAACAGAGAACACTCCGAGTTGCAACTATTGTGCCGCTACAATAGTTGCAAGGCCGTTGCGAACAACGGTGAAGGGTGAAAGACGGCCTTCCGGCTTAAGAAGAAATCAGGATTAACAAGCTTGATCCAGCGGATTTGTCAATCCGGAGGGGTAAAGGAACTGCAACTTTTATCATGTTACATAAACTTTTAGCTTCCTGTCATGTCCTGACTTGAATTTAATTAACATCTAAATTCATTTTGATAAGGATGAGAAGCTAGGAGTTGGGGGAAAGGGTTGATCCATCTTCGATGGAGATGATGATTTTTATCTACTGAACAAAAACAATAGCAATATAATATAATGAGTGGTAGCCCTGTTTTTAGGAGTGACCTCGTGGTCTGGGGATACTGAGACCCAGTCATGAGCTCGTTATTTCTGCATGTAATCTAGTTAATTTGAGTGTTTTGACCGAAGCCGAAAGCAGTAACGTTTTTGTCGACCCGATGTTAGAAAGACCACAGAAAAGTACTGGCTTGGTAGAGACGGTGAAAAGCATGCAAAGCTCTGTTTAGACGTTAGCCAGTCGTCTTAAGACTTAGTTTTGTCTTTTGTCGATATGTATCTTCCGGGCGAATGTTACAGCAGACAACGGTGAAGGGTGGAGGACAGCCTTCCGGATTAAGAAGAAATGAAGATTAACGAGCTTGATTCAGTGGATTCAAGAATCCGGAAGGGTTTCGGAACTGAGACTTTTATTCTTTTATATAGACTTTTAGCTTCTTGTCATGTCCTGAATTGAATTTAATTAACAACTGGATTCATTTTGATAAGGATGAGAAGCTAGGAGTTGGGGGAAAGGGTTGATCCATCTTCGATGGAGATGATGATTTTTATCTACTGAACAAAAACAATAGTAATATAATAAGTAGTAGCCCTGTTTTTAGGAGTGACCTCGTGGTCTGGGGATACTGAGACCCAGCCATGAGCTCACTATTTCTGCATGTAATTAAGTTAATTTGAGTGTTTTAACCGAAGCCGAAAGCAGTAACGTTTTTGTCGACCCGATGTTGGAAAAGACCACCGAAAGTACTGGCTTGGTAGAGACGGTGAAAAACATATAAAGCTCTGTTTATACGTTAGCCAGTCGTCTTAGGACTTAGTTTTATTTTCCGTCGATATGTATCTTCCGGGCGAATGTTACATATATGAACTTTAAGCTTCCCTATTATGTCCTGAATTGAATTTAATTAACATCTGAATTCATTCTGCTAAGATGAGAAGCTAGGAGTTGGGGGAAAGGGTTGATCCATCTTCGATGGAGATGATGATTTTTATCTACTGAACAAAAATAATAAAAATTCAATAAAAAGTAGTAGCCCTGTTTTTAGGAGTGACCTCGTGGTCTGGGGATACTGAGACCCAGCCATGAGCTCACTGTTTCCGCATGCAATTAAGTTAATTTGAGTGTTTTGACCGAAGCCGAAAGCAGTAACGTTTTTTGTCGACCCGATGCTAGAAAGACCACCGAAAGTACTGGCTTGATAGAGACGGTGAAAAGCACGCAAAGCTCTGTTTAGACGTTAGCCAGTCGTCTTAGGATTTAGTTTTGTTTTCCGTCGATATGTATCTTCCGGGCGAATGTTACACTGTTTCACTCGCTTTATGCAGGCTCTAACCGCAAATTCTTAGGTACACTAAACCGCAAAAATCTAGGCTCAATTCTGAAGCCCAATTCTCGGGTACCCTAAACCGCAAAAAATTAGGCATTGGATCGGTATCTAGGCATTTTCTCAGAAATTTAAGGCAATTTTTGCTATTGTTAAATTTAAATCAAGTGTTTGCACGCATAATGCAATAGTTTTCCACAAAAGTCTTTTTCTGTGTAAGTTAATTTGAGTGTTTTGACCGAAGCCGAAAGCAGTAACGTTTTTGTCGACCCGATGTTGGAAAAGACCACCGAAAGTACTGGCTTGGTAGAGACGGTGAAAAACATATAAAGCTCTGTTTAGACGTTAGCCAGTCGTCTTAGGACTTAGTTTTATTTTCCGTCGATATGTATCTAACCGCAAAGATACATATCGGAACGTCGAAATTTTTTACTTGTAACACTTGTATATTATATTATCTCGTGTCGAGTTGCGTGTTCTTATTGAAGAAGCGTAACCCGTATCGATTTTAAATGAAAAGGACTTAAACACTTGACATCTTCTTTTATCATTATCACTTCCATATCTAGAAAATTCCAAGGATTTTGACTGGAATACATGATGAAGGGACTCATGACTGTAACCTCGGTTACTATGATACTTTTGACCTTCTGATTACCTTTAAAAATTTTCTGTGTATAAATCTTAGTCATGTTTATCATTTTTTCTTGATCTTGGATCGTTTTCTATATGTAAAAAATTTCATGATGATGATGCTAGCTAGAGCGAAAATGTCCGAATTAACATTTTAAAATTCCGATCACACAAAGGTTACTCGATATTTCGGAAAGCAATTTTTCAGATCAATTTCTGCCACGATGTCTCACGGATACGAAAATGGAGATGAATTCGTAAGTTTTGTTATGCTGTAATAAATTTTTGCATCATGCAGTCTCATTTCTTTTTGGCAACGTAAAATGTCTTTTGAAATCTGAAATTCAATCGTGAGAATTAAGAAAAGTGCCCATGAATCAATGTTGTAAAAGTAGACTCATGATTGGCTGTGTTAAAGGGTGTCAAGGAGATCATTGAACAACATCGTGATAATCTGGGAAAACTGTTCATCGGCAGGCTTCACAGAGCAGTGACAGACGACGAAATCCGAGATGCATTCTCAGCCTTCGGAAATGTTACGGACTGCGTTGCCATCAAACAGTGAGTAAAATTGGTTGTTTTACCCGAATAGAGCAATTAGGCAAATGCCAATAGAGGACAAATTAGTTGAATACGTATTGGGTATACAAACTAATTCATTGTATCTGTTATCAGGAAAAATCCTGACGGAAGCGTCGAAGGAAACAAGGGTTTCGGTTTCGTCACTTTCGACGATGTGCAAGCTGTAAACGCCGTGATGGACGAGTTCACTCAGAATGGAATTGAGCTGAGAGGACAGAAAGTTGACGTTAAGAGAGCCATTCCAAAAGATGTAAGTGTTTCTTTAATGAGTTATGGACCAGGAACTTGATTTTAATCATGTTCAGGCTGTCCTATCAATAATGCTTTGTATCTTCAAACTTTATCACCACCACCACCACCACCAAAATTATTGGTCTAGATTTATATTAACTGGGATTTTTTTGGAGCCATGACAACATTCAATTATTTAGATAGTTCAATTCAACGTTTCAATATAATGATATTCAGCTCAACGTTGCATAAATAGGTTGAAATAAGGTAATCGATTCATTTCTAGCAATCATGAAATTTAAGCTGTTTAATTTTTAACGTTCGAAAAACTTTTGCTCCAACTTGTTCTTAAATACACGCTTTACTCTGACACTGTTAGCTTCAGGTCCAGAACCCACAAGTGGCCCACGCCCGTACCAAGAAGTGTTTTGTGGGGGGACTGAGTCAGAACATGGATGAGCAGGAACTGGAGAGGTATTTCAACGCGTTTCCCATCAGTGGAATCGAAAAGATCGACTTCAAGGGAAAGTTCGCGTTTGTCGAGTTCAAACATGAGAATGATGCTGACCTTCTATCTAGTAAGATTTTTAAACTAACTTAATACTATATTTTATGCAGGCAAATTGTTCACAGAGTTTTCAAATCTTTTTCATGATTATTTTTCACTGTTTTTTCATGTAGTTTTAACTTGATTTTGACTACAAGTTTGCCAGAAAAATATTATTTTTATTCATTGTCTCAACATCTTGACTTTTTTGTTATTTGAGGGAACATACTTTTGAACTTTGACTTCTTGTGTGCTTTTGGGCTGCTGTGTGAAATGATATCTGTGGAGGTTTTTCAACAAGAAAATTTACTGTTAACTTAAGTTCCTGCTGAAACATTTCAAATTTTGCTGATAATAAACGTGATTATATTGGAAAAGTGTGATTAAGTTTGCTCCTAGGAGTAAAAATTATGCCCGCTTATGATAAATGCAAAAGTCATTGTTCATTAAAAGGGAGCAAGATTTTTAAAAGTAAATTTCAGATCAGCTGGTTGCTTTGTCGTTAAAATCGATCACCAATTTGAATTAAATTGAAAAGTTTTGATACAAGATTGCGATGGTCTACGTGATACAAGCTATAAATTTAGCAATTGGTGCATTGAAATGCGAAATTGCCCTCGAAATATAGAAATTGTATTAGCTTTTTACTAAAAAAAAAACAACTTTTTAACCGTTAAAATAGCTGAGTAAATTTCAGGCTTCTAGTTTTTCGTTTTCTGATTGATGGACATTGTAAGGTTACAACTTGCAAAAAACTCAAACAATTGTTGTATCTGCCACAAAAATAGTTCGAAAGTAAGATTTCATTAATATTTTAAATGTTTGTGTTTAAGTAATCAACAAACACGCACCGCCAAAACAAGGTAACCGACCTTTCGAAGTGAAGAAATCTGAACCCAGGGAAGGCATGGCTCCTGGCGGTGGCCGAGGAGGATTCGGAGGCAGGGGAGGTGGTGGCTTTGGAGGCCGAGGAGGAGGACGAGGCGGTGGAGGTTTCGGTCGAGGTGGCGGCGGCGGATTCCGAGGTGGTGCCGGAGGAGGATACGGCGGTGGAAACCAGTACTCTGGAGGCAGTGGGTACGGAGGAGGCGCCGGCGGATACGGAGCAGCGGGTGGATCTTACGACTCGAGTTTTGCTTATGGTAAGAGACTCATTTTTTTATTACAATACTGGCGCAAGACTATTTATTTAATGGGATTGAAATGTAAGAAAGAAATTATGCAAATATTTATAAAGAAAAAGCCGTCTCATCTCGGAAATTTTCACTTGCTAATGACTTAGTTTTCTTAGATTCATTTGGAGCTGCAACTGCCACCGCAGCAACTGGATACGGAGCTGCAACTGGATACCCGGCAACCACCGCTTACGGAGCCTATGGTGGCAGCGCGTATGGAGGAGCCCAGACGGAGTATGACGCGGGAGCTGGCTATGCCCAGGGATACATGCAGTCCGGTGCTTACGGAGGACAGACAATGGGATCTTACGCATCGGAATCGTCGAGCTTTGGACCTACCAGAGGTAAGAAATCATTTAATAATCTGGAAAAACACGAATCTGCCAAATTATAAAAATTTCAAGTTCGTGAAATCCTTTCATTGTGTTTAGTTGTTCGCAACCGAAATTTTTGCCAATGATGATTGCATAATCACGGCAAAGCGTTCGAACAAAAAGACTTAGATTTTCCTGATACTTAACCGATTCTATTTTAGACAATAGTTGATCAGTATATTAAGTGATTAAGAACGAATTAATGAGGTGTTTTTTTTTCAAGAAAAACTCTTAAAATGATAAATTAAACACATGCATCTTTCATACTAATCCTCTTAAGAATGCTTTTTAAACTTCAATTAAAATTCATTTACTTAATGGAAGGCAAATTACGCTATGTAGTAACAAAAGTGCAAATCGCGTGAAAAAGTTATCGAATTTTAGTTTCCTAAATATTTTTAAAATTCGAAACTCCTAGCGTAATAAAAAATCCTGTCGATTCTTTTTCTATTGGATAGTTTTATGAAAAAAATGTCAATCCTAAAAGATTCTGGAATTTCCAAGAGCTTCAAATTAACATAATTTTTTCTCCGATATTCGAAGGCTTACAAGTTTTCGATGATTTTTTTTTTCGGTTTCCTTGAGTTGCTGAACACTTTTCCAACTGTTTTTCCTTTTTGGCTTTTAAGAATCTGATCCCAGTCGCTAGTTTTTGTTTAAAACAAGAGGCACAATTGTTGAAGATTAAAATGATTCTTGTCTTTAGGAGGACAACGCGGAGGTGCCCGGGGAGCCAGCGCAGGCCGAGGGGGAGGTGGCCGAACCAGACCTTACTAAACAGCTACAAAATTCTAGACCACAACACTCTTTTTAGTTGGATGGACTGGAATATTATTATCTGTTGGTGAGTTACTCAGTTTTCTTTACTATTAAAGGATTAAATACAGTCAGAATTCAAATTGGCCGTATCCAAATAATGAGTTCTAACTTGTATTGAGACCAACAAATGGAATTTGGTAAATTGGTTGATAAATAACCTATATAAAGAATGAGCATTGGTAAAGTACAGTATAGCACAAATAGTAATTTGATGATTCAATGGCAAGAGAAAAGAGCTTAAGGACATATGCCTTGTCAAGGATAATGGCCTCTTGTAGACAGCCTATGCACCTTTTACCTAATTTTGAAAAGATTATGAACGACAATGTTTAAATGAGCTTGAACGAAATTACATGCAAGTGCCAGTGACTAAAAAGAATGCTCAACAAGGCAATCAAAAATTGTTGAGAAGATGATTGTTGCTCACAATATCTTCTGAGACTGTTTGATTCCTCAAAACTGATTCAATTTAACCTGATCTACATTTAGTATCAACCTGAAAAAAGTCGGAAACTAATGTCAATTCGGCCTAGAAATGATCTAACTTTGGAAAATAAGCCATCAATTTAAAAGAAGTTTTAATTTTAAATACCCCAAAATAGTTTTAAAAAAGTCGCCAAATTTGCTGAACTATTCATTGAAGTTTTTTTTTGTTTCAAAGTATATGATAAGGTATAATTTTGAATGTTTGTTAGTAGGGTTTTGGTTTCTTTAGGTTAGCGCGTGCGCTCGTGTCGTTTTCAATTCAATCTAGGAGCTTAGAAGTGCAATGAACAACACCACTGAGGAACATCAGAAGATTATCTTAACCCTATCACTCATTCTTAGAGGTCATTTGAGGTCAACTACCATCTAACGCTTAGCTTAGGCACCCTTTCCTATCCTAGGCTAAGACTTCTTACTACCAACAATATTCAATCGGCCTAAGATACCATCTGTATTAATATCGCTGAACGACTAGCGTAAGACAAACTTTCGACCGATACTTAATGTTTTTAAGTTGTGTTTTCTATATCGGCATAAGTTAGAGACTACTTACTACTGTAAGCTAGATTTTGAATTACTGGATCACTTTTAAACAACTTTTCTTAGATATTTATTCATAATAACTTAGGCAGGAAGCTCTTTTAAATGTGATCCAGCGTTTAAGATCCAAGATTTGTGTGAATTTCTTACCGTATGCTTAATAAATTTTAGTTTCTCTTGATGTAAACCCAGAATAAATGTGAAGTTTAAGAATTGAATAAGCGATTGCTCCTCCGATTTTGTTGTTGTCGTATAAGTAACCGACCCTCTGTTGTTTCTTTGTGTTGAAATATCTCTTGACTTTTTTATTGTGCATCTTTTCTAAATATTTCGCGTTGTTCAATTGATTTTATCGGCTATAAGACTTTTACTGTTAAGACTTAACTAGCTAGGATATCAAGTTTAGAAATAATGATGCTAAAACTGCTGGTTATAAGTTACGGGAAATTATCCTCGAAAAAGTACCTGGATATAAGGTGTTGGTTGGAAGGATATTGAGCAGTTGGGGGGACTTTCAGCTACCCAATTTAGCTAAGGTTTTGAATTGTCATCAACCCATCTTCGAAGTGTATACTCTTCGACAGATTTGGTTCAATTTGTAACCATAGATGGAAAAAACATTCGCCAATGTCAAAAGGAAAAGTTAGAATGATTTGAATTGAGTTCAGATGAAAAACTCGTGTCGACTTTGCATCGCCTCTAAGAAAAAAACGGCTTGAAAGTAATGAATCGTTATTTCAAAATTGCGGTAACGTAGAATTAAACAGACAAGACAGACCAGAAAGCAAAAAGTTTCAAGTAATATTAGCAATTGAGTTTATATGGTGTCTTATCAATTCCCAGAAAATTGTTTTTTCTCAAAAGTATTTAATTTGATTTGAAATCAATAACTTGAAAACCTTTGTCTACAGGGGCCAATTAGTACTTTTTAAGACATCCATTTTGACTGACCGACCCTAAAATTTTTTTAAAGGCGCTTTGGATGCCAATAGCTTCTATTTATAAGGGGGGTCTGAAAAAACGCGATATTTGGTCAAAACGTTCCAAAAGTTTTTTTGAAAAGTTTGCCTGCGGCGCAAAAAAATTGGTCATAATAGGGTCATTATAGTGATTTGAGAGTCCGGAAAACAATTTGGTCGACCAAAAAAAATCGGCAAAGTTTTCAAAGCTTTATTATGCGTCACTTCAATAATTCAAACATAAGCTAGTAACATGTTTCAAGCTTCTTGACGAAATGAAGCTTTCATTGTCTACATGTAAACACAGCTTGCAGAATAATTAAATGGAGGATAATCAACAAGCAACCATGTATTCTCTCCATGTCTTGAGGCAGAAATTGCATCATAATAACGTAAATTACATCAGAATTACGAAACAATTGCATAACAAGAATGAAAAATCAGTTGTTATGTTGCATAACAATTTTAATTTTCGGCTTGTTGGAATGGTAATCCTATTTTCGGTTAGTTGGCCCTTCGGCTTGTTGGCCTACCCTCGAATAAATACGTGATTTGTAAAAAAAGTCAATGAATAAACGGGGGCTAGGAGGAATCCTTAAGCGCAAAGGACTGTTTTGGCAGCCAAACAGAATTCCCTAATTTGAAAGAAATCAGCGGTTAAATCTGAGTTTTGGATAGTTTGGGACCATTGATTGTTTGAGATTTTTCGGTTATGCATTCCTTCGCGCATCAGAATAGCCCCCCCCCCCCCCCCCCGCCCTCAGAAGCTATCGAGTGATATGACAAAGAGTTGCGATGGCATCTAAAACACAACGCCTGAATTTTCCGGGCTAGGAAGTTGAAGAATTTTGACTTATGGTGTTGTTGACTCAAAATTCAAATGCACTCTTTTAGGGGTCATCTGAATTTTTACCTACGTGGTCAAAGAGGGTATAAGTTAAAAAGTGAATAAACTAATTCTAATTCATGGAAAAAAAGAGGGGGATGAGTTAGTTTATGGTCTTTAAATTAGTCATTATACAGCTGCGAACTTTGAGTTTCCGAAAAAAAGGACTGCAATTTGTGCAGGTTTCTGAAGTTTTCTTTGCAGGTAAAAAAGAAGTTATTCGGTCAAGATCAGTGATGATTATTTAAACAAAATAGTTTGAGTCATAGTCAACGCAGGTAATTTAATTTGAAGAATTCTGTTCAACATATTTGCAATGTTTCAGTTGATATAACGCATAGAATCAATTTGAAAAAATTTCTTACTTCCAGCATTACCATAACTTCGGGTTTCCTATTTAAACAAAAGTTTCCTGTGATTGAACACGTTGCACAGAATGTTACGACAGAACTAGATGACGCAAAAGGATGGCTGCTAATAGTATTCTTCATAAATAAATGAAAAGCACCTGAAGGTCAATTTACGATGTAAAAAAAAACATTCGTTGTCAAAAAGCGATATACGACCGGAAAAATTAGGCAAGAAAAACATATTTTTGAAGGCATTTCTTGGCAATTTGTTTGAATCTCGTTAAAAGCGATCGTTAATTTCACTTGCGAAGCAAACTGTATTAGTACGAACTTTCTTTTCCAACCTCAGTCGCAGAGGAAATTTTTTGGTGGCACTTTTGAATCGGTATTCTGCGCTAGCAATATGATGTCATATTTGCTTTGACATTTACTTAGTAAAAATTTAACACAGTTGATGCGTTTTTAATTCATCAAATGAACTTGAAAAAGTTATTTGTTTCAAACAGCAGAACACTGAGAAAAAGCTCGGTTTCAGAAATTTTCCAATGCAATGTATCTTGCAATTTCTTTGAAATGCATAATTTACACATAATTTGGCTTGATGCTTTCCAATTTATTACATGCAAAATTGTGTCTTCTTGTATTTGAAGCTACTTTTTCTTTATCGAATTGGCAATTTTTTTTAGCATATGTAATTGCTTTATTGGTGGCTATTTTTTTTGGGGATTTTAGGCAGTGGTTAGTGCGTGAGACTCAATTTTGCTAGGTTGCAGATTCGAATCTACTTTGCTAAGTAGCCGAGTTTTTGCTTATTCGAGACCTATTTCTACTTTTTGGTCGTGGTTTTGCTAGTGTTTGCATAGCACAGCTTCGCCTTTGTGTCTCAATCTGAAAACTGACCGTAACTTGTTTTTCTTGGTTTCATTCATCAAGGTGAGTAATAACTGACACATTTCATAGTGTTTTTTTTTGTGTAGGATTTCAATCGAATTTGCTCTCAATTATTTTTCAGCATTCTTCTATCGAGAAGCCAAGTGTTGCAGAGTAGAAAAACTAGTGAATAAAGTAGAATTATGTCGGTCCAACTAACAATTGTTTGTCTATTTTTTTCAGTCAATGAACTACAATTAGATTTTTTTGAAAATGATTTATCTATTAAAACATTTAAATTTACATGAATTTAGGAGGCGCAGCGATCGATAAGATAAGCATGGTTGCGACTAACAAGCGTTATCAAATCTGAATAAATAGACTTTTTTCAGGTTAACAACTTGTTTAACAAAATCACCTGAATCATTTGATAGCTTGATCAGAAGAATTTCAATTTCTTTCGCTTTTCCCGCAAACTTGATATTGAGGCAACTTTGCCTGGAACAGCAGAAGTCTTACGTTGGGTTCAAGCTTGTACCTGTTTTTTTTTTCAAACTGAAAATCTACTAATTTAAAAAAGAACATAGGCCTATTGACGATCTATTGTCAATCTATTTATGGTTTGTCGCCTTTGTTGCCACATGAATTATTTCTCTTCCTTGTAATTGATTGTGTTTTTGATTTAATCCTGTAATTTATAAATTTACTAAGCCCTGTTTTGTATAATACCATGTTTTTTTTCATGTTTTTCAAGTTTTTACAAAAAGTTGTGTATATTTTTTCAAATCAACTTTTAACTGTGTGCATTTTGATGATCTTTTCACGCCCTTTTTCAAAACAATTGCTAATTCAGTTTTCAGAATACTATAATTCTCGTGGTTTTTGTGGATTATTTTCATTAATTTTCCTGAGTCTCTTAAAATGTGTTTTCTTTTTAACATTTCATAACTAAGATATCGTCGCCCTTCGTGTTTCCACTTTTCTGCTGTATGTAAAAAGTTAATAACGGATGTTACTAGCCCTTTCAAATTTATAATAACCTATGTGAAATTTTCGCTATTTTCAAAAATCACCTGCCAGCGCAAAATTCCTTGTAACTGAAAACTTTTTTTTGAAAGCATTTTTTCTAGTCAGATTAGTCTTTGCTAATTGTACAAAATCGCTCTTGGCGAGTTTTTCGTTTTCAAGTTAGATCAATTCCATTTATTTTTGTTTCGCAAGCTTGGCAAAGCTCCGGTTCGCCTCTGTATTGAAAGCTTGCTGTGGAAAGCATCTTTTGAATAAAAAAATCTGCTCCCAAAGTAGGGTACAGTTACAAGTTTTCTAAAAGACCCAATGGAAACCCGTTCCGTCTGTGTTGGATTTTTTTCTTTAGTTTTTGCTTGTTATGCTTATTTTGCTTCACAGGAACAGGAATAATATAGTTTCGCAGAACTGATTTGGCTGACTGTTAGGCTCAATCAATAGGAAGATTAATTTTTCTGCAAATTAACTTGTAAGTAACGCTTATATTGGTCAAAATTCAATATTTAACTGATTTTCTTTTATATAAAACGCTGCTGTGTTCAAACCAAATTGTTTAGACAACTTCTTATGCGGCGAAAAAGAAAGAGAGAAACAACGCCCGCAACAGTCACATTTTCTGCGAGTAAGAAGGGGCGTCAAAATTCAGACTTAGAACGGAGAGAAAACAGAATAAAGTTGGCTAGTATCAGGTACCCTTGAAACAAATCAAATCGTGGAAATTCAGAGGGAACATTTTTTTTAAAAACTCAATTAAACCAATTTTGCAGGAAAGTTGCAATGCGAAACACTCAATTACAAGATGAGGAAGGCTTGGTAAAATTGAGATAGCATTCTTCATGATCGCTCAAATATAATTTTGCTGACAGGCTTGTAGAATGCCAAAATTTTGTGACCCAGACTACCTGCACAAGAAACGAAAATACCAGGATTGTTTAGAAAACTACTACTCAGAGTCAAGATTCCTTTTATGAAATCAGCGGCAGAACAAAGATTTAAACTCAAAACGAAAGAAATTATAACTATTGATGATTTTAATTATTTTCTAAAATGAAAAAATTATACTCAAGCTTGCTGAACTGTTTCATGCTATGCTTTGAATTGAATCGATTATTCGGATAATTTTGCGAAGTGGGAAGGAACTATGGCACAGGGTCTGTTGTTTGTTCCAGTCAGGTTTGACTACCAGAAGAAAGCTTGCTGGGGTCAAGAGCAGTATCATATCAAAGCCCTTTCGTTCCTGGTTTTATTTCTAAATTTTGCTAATCGAGTCTCAGTGTCGAGAATGAGTGGTTTCAGTTTTTCTCGTTTTCAGACAGTTTCACCCCTTTTTGAAATATCAAAATTTTTATCAACTGGTTTTTTGTTTTCTAAGTTACTTTTTAACACTTTTCTAACAATCTGATGACTATGTTTTTTGTCTGCTACCTTTGGAATTTCCTTGACACTTTTTCAACTGTCATTTGTTTGTTTTATTGGGAAAAACTGTAAATTGGGCTCTCTCAATGATATAACTTTGCGGTGTGTTTTTCAAACTTCAAGAGTTCTAATGAGAAAAAATCTGCTTTTGCTTACATGCTTTACGAATCGAGGCGGAATTCGAATTACATGCGGTGATGCAGTAAAAAACACGCAGCGAAATTTCTTATTCTTCAGTTGATTGTCGTTTCCTTGAAAATTAAAAAGTAAAAGAACACAAAATTTTTTATTAGATAGTTAATATCGAAAGTACACTTCTTACATCGCGTGAGTTTGCGTGTTGCTTTTCTAAGAAAAACTAAGAAGCTCTTCACGCTCAAATTTCATGTTTTGCCGCTCAACTTTGAGCTTAAAAAACTATCAAAAACTTCGAGAGTTCGGCTAAACTTCGAGAGTTCGGATTTTGAGAGTTCGGCTAAAAGAAAGCAGTTGCTAAAAACGCAATTTTTGCTCTTTTAGCGATCAGTTAGAAGTTGAGTATGAACGGAAGCCTTTTATTTGAAGTTTTTCAAATAAACTTGCAATTTTCACGTGAAATTTTTCTTGTAGCAGACATTTTTTGATAGTTTTTTTACAAGTTTGTGATTAATTTCGTTCTTTGACCACTCTTAACATATTATTATTTTCAATTTAAATTATGAAATAGACTATTTTACGACGAATTAGTTTATAAGAAGAATTGATGAAAAAGTGTCTATGATTTTTTAAACTTAGATAGTGATTATGATTTTTATTAGTATTTAACCATGGATTGTGAGATTTTAGGCCACAAAAACTCGAGTTGAAACTCGAGTTGTGATGAGATTCAATTTTTAAAGTTGTTTTTGGTTGAGACGCAGCAAATATTCTGCAGACTTCTTTTTTTCAACAAAAATTTCTCCACGGCAACTGAAACTTTGATATGCTCCGAATCTCAATTGAACTGAGAGACACTCTTTCAATGCCACCTTTCAAGTTTTCTGTAACTTGCATTAGTATAATGAGTGTTAAGTCTTAAACTATTTTGAAGTCTTCGAAATTGCAGGACACTCTGAACCTAAACACACTCTGAACCTATGGACCTGAAATTTTTTTCCGACTATGTCACGTAGCGACGAGGAGCTCGTAGCATTCATCTTTACAAGTTCAACTATTTTCAGGTACTATTTAAATCTTATTTGTAACTTATTTGCTTTTACTGTTTGCTGTTTTTGTTTGCTGTTTTTAGTTGATGAAGATGTTTCTCTATTAAGACAGCTTTGATGATGTTACTACTGTATTCAACACTTTGAAACCATTTATTGAAAATTGCTCGGGTAAATTTGGCCGGATATTTCGGTGGGTATTAATGCGCTATGAATCAAATTGATCAAGTATCAATAATGTTTTTATCATTCCTTTTCATGAAACATAAAAATATCTGATTTTTTTTTCATAAAAAACTTAACTGAGATCAAATAAGTTGCCGACGAACTTAGAGGAAAATGTAGAGATATTCTATCAATTGTTGGTTCAAAAAGATTTTAAGGAGAGTTAGTTTTCTTTTTTTTTTGCTAATAATTGCTCATTTGCTAATCTTAATTTAAGCTCAATACTGCATTTCAATCGGTGTGACAACTAAGAACTACAGTATGCAAGTTGCCTAGTAGGATATTTAGCCAGTTAGAATACCCTAAATTTACAAATCGAACAAACTCAGACGCCCAGAGAAAAAGCAAGTAAAAAAATAAACGTACTGTTCCGACTTTTGAACAAAGTCGGAACAAAGTACAAAATAATTGTGTATGAAGTTTTTAATTTTTCGGAAAAAAGTCTAACCTTTCATGAAGGCTTTGTATCATCTGAAAGGTATGAATATTTTGAGCTCATGAAAAATCATCTGCGCCGGATTGTTATTTGTGACTCTATGAGGGAGAGGAGAGAGGGGGTTGAAAATTGCTGATTTGTCGCACGAAACATTTACTCCTATGAAAACCCAAGAGGCTAGATAAATCATTCCAAATTGAGTTAAAGCAATTTATCATTAAAAAAAATATTTACCTGAACCAAAACATCACTTTGAATTGAACATAGCTTATGCAGGACATAGCTTATTGAACATAGTCCAATAAAACTGTTTTTCTCCTTTTTCCCCGACTAGCTCATCAATTTTAAAAGCAACAATAATGGCAACTAGAGGTAACAGCTCAGTCAAATTAGACATGGCTTTGTCCCGATACGATCAGTCTCCTACCGTTTAAAAATGTTTCATGGGTGGAAATTCTAGTCAGTATCTTATGACTTGAGGTTATCCAGAAAAGCCAATTGATTCATATTTGAACATTTTTCCGAGTTTTTTTTATCCGACTGACGAAATATGTGACGGCACTTTTCTCCTTCTTAATTTTTTAAAAACCAATTTCGACTTTGTAATTTACCAGTTTTGAACGTAATTTTTGATAGTTTAAAAAAAAAAGAAGCCTTCAGCTCAAACGTGTATAGATTTTTCAGCCTTCACTTTGAGTCATAATTTTATGAAGGCTTGAAAATTTAATTAAATAGGGATTAGTAACGCGCTGTCTTGTTTTTTGATACAGGGCGGCAATTTCATACGTCTAAGAAATTGTTTCAAAATTTTACAGCAAGTTGAGCAATTTTTTTTCTATCCCGACTTGACCAAAGTTTATAGTCTAACAATTTCCATGTATAAAAAACTTCCAGTTACTCACATCCAATCTTGCATACATTTCCATACCTATTGGATATCATATAACATCTCTATCTCTCTCTCTCTCTCATGGCAAGTATTATCTAAAGATGAATTTTGTAGATTAGATTTTTTGCCATAGTTGAAACTAACAAAATTTTAGTCTTACTTTAGATTTTGTGCTTGGTTTCAAAGCTCAATAACGAAATTTTTTTTGTGGTATATAATCCTCATTAATCAACAAAGCAGTTTCATTGTAATTTTTGATAAATTTAAAAAAGCCAAATTAACCCATTTTTGGATAATTATTTGGTTGAGAATTTTGGAGAAAAAATTGCACCATGTTACTGTTGATGAAATTCTAATTAACTTTTGTTCTCTTCTTTTTTTTCTTAGGTTTTAATCCAATTTGAGAAAAATGTGTTTGTTATGTTCGAGAAAAACTCAGTTGTGTTCGTTTTGTCCGGATAATTTAGATCAGCACCGTATTTTTGCGACGAATGAGTTTACAAGAAGAACTGATAAAAAAAGTTCTATGATTTTTATTTAGATAGTGATTATGATTCTTTTTAGTGTTTTATCATAATTTTTGAGAGTTTGGGTCACAAAAATTTGAGCTTTGGTGAGGTTCATTTTTTTAGGTTGTTTTTGATTGACACGCAGTAAATATTCAATCTGCTCGTTTTTTTCAACGAACATTTCTCCATGGCAACTGAAATGTTGATATGCTCCGAATCACAATTTAAGTGAGAGAGACTTTTTCAATGTCACCTTTCAAGTTTTCTGTATTTTGCGTTAGTATTATGAGTGTTGAGTATTGAACTATTGGAAAACTTCAGAATTGCAGTGCACACACTGAACTTAAACACACTGAAAGCTAGATACGGACCTGAAATTTTTTTTTGACTATGTCACGTGGCGACGAGGAGCTCGTAGCATTCATTTTCACGTGTTCAATAATTTTCAGATACTATTTACATCTTATTTGTAACTCATTCTTTCGAAACTTTTTACGTGCAATATTTTTGTTTGCTGTTTTCATTTGATGAAGATATTTCTCTATTGTCACAGCTTTGATATTACTACTGTATTCAACACTTTGAAACCAATTATTGAAATTTGCTCGGTTAAACTTTGCCCGGATATTTCGTTGGGTTGTAATGCGCTATGAATCAAATTGATCAAGTATGAATGTTTTTTTTTCGAAAAGACAGTTTTTTTCAGCATTCTTTTTCATGAAACAGAAAAATGTTTGTTTTATCATAAGAAGCTTAGCTGAGACGAAACTAGTTGCAGGCCAACTTAGATGAAAATGGAGAGCATTCTATCAATTGTGGATACAAAAAGTTTTAAAAGAGTGTTAGTTTTCATTTTTTGCTATCAGTTGCTCATTTGCTGTTTATAATTCAAGCTCATTACTGAATTGATATGTTTATTAAGAATTACCGGATGTAAGTTGTCTAGTAGAATATTTAGTAACCAGTTAGAATATCCAAAATTTATAAATCGCACAAACGTAGACGCCGAGAGAAAAAAGCAAGTAAAAGATAAGTTTGTTGTTCCGACTTTCGAAGAAAGTTGGAACAAGGTACAAATAATTGTGTATTATGTTTTTTCTTCAAAAAAATGTCTAACCTTTCATCTAATAGGCTTTTTATCATCTGAAATATATGAATATTTTGAGCTCGTGAAAAATAGTGGGTATTAATGCGCTATGAATCAAATTGATCAAGTATCAATGGTTTTTTTCATCGTTCCTTTTCATGAAACATAAAAATATCAGATTTTTTTTCATAAAAAACTTAACTGAGTTAAAATGAATTGCCGACGAACCTAGATGAAAACGTAGAGATATTCTATCAATTGTTGGTTCAAAAAGATTTTAAGGAGAGTTAGTTTTCTTTTTTTTTTGCTAAAAATTGCTCATTTGCTATTCTTAATTTAAGCTCAATACTGCATTTGAATCGGTGTGATAACT